CACGGGGGATGGAAGCGTCGGCAGGGAGAGAGGGGAGATGATGCAACGCTCTCGGAGGTGGTGTGGTGGGAAGGGGTCCTACACCACCGACCTGCGGGCAGGGGAAAGGACTTGCCTTTCCCATGCAGCACTTTCAACCTCCCTCCTCCTTAAAACCACAAGCTCCTTAGGGCACGGGCAGGCTCTGGCTTGATGCTTCTACAGAACCAAGAATAACAGGGTCCAGACCTCACCTGCGGTCTCCAAGACCCTCCAAGACCTCTTCTTCCCCCTCCAGATACTAACAGCCACGTTTTGGACTTGGTTTCTCCTGAACTTTAGGGTGCTTCAGATCTACACTTGTATTTTTGAGGCTCAGACCCCAACACTACTACAAAATCAGCCAACTGGTACTATCAGACTCAAAATGAAAGAATCATTTGAAGTGATTTGTATGTAAACCATCGGCCGCTGTGACCACCTGCAGCTGGATTTCCACCCAGTGAAGTGAACACCCCATTCAATAGCCGCCATCGAGAGACATTCAGTGAAAACAATCCCATCCTTACGAATCGCAGAAGGTGTCCAAACCCCCAACCCCAGCACTGGAAGGTTAAATCTTAACGAGGGGACACACACGTCCTGCTCTAGACACCAGCATCTCGGCAGACACGGTCCTGCCACTACACAGCTGCTACGAAACGTGCCTGTGCTCCCCGGGAAGGATGACAGTAAGTGGCAGCAAAAAGCTTTCAATCTTTAGCAAAAACGGTAAGGATTCTCAGTTATACATGAGCAAAGAGCAAACTCCACCCCAGGCTTACTTGGGAGGTTTCTGTGGCTCAGACTGGCCATTTCTCACCAGCCTGTTTTTACAGGGCTGGAGCGCAGAGCTGAGCAGGGAGCTGAGTTACAAGTCTCTCCTCCAGCTTTATTCCTGGCAGAGACCCTTTGCAGCAGTGTTGCTCAGCACGTCAAGTCTGGCACCTGCTTACAATAAATCCCAAACGATGCTGAAAAGTTAAACGTCCATTTAGTTCAATTTCTGGTTTAGATTTGGATTTCTACGTACCGTAAATGCTAGAAAGAATGTTTTTTTGAAACAATGCTGCTTATTTGCCTTGGAGATCCTCTATAATTGGCTGCCCTTCATCTAAGGTTTCTTTCTAAATGCGAAAGGACGCCCTCAGCACAGACAGTCTAACGGGGAGGCTTTGCCACCATCACCTGCTAACGCTTCCACGCTGGCTGAGACCTTTCGAGCAGGCTCCCTTGCAGGTGGGATGGGTTGAAGGCCCTACTTTGGGTCTCAGAAACCCAAGGGGTTTGAATCCCAGCCGACACTAAAGGAAGAAAAACGCCTCCCGGCCCGGTGTCAACTTGTGCAGGCGGGGCTTTGGGACAGGGGTGACGGCACAAAGCCAGATGGGCACCGCCGAGCTGCTGAGCACCGGCTGACAAGAGTCTCCCTCAGCCTTGGAGCTGCCATGTCCCAGAGCTTCCCCTCCACGGCCATTTCTTCACTGCAAACAGCTTCCTCAGGAGATCACGGGCTTCACGCAGCAATTAATGACAAGGTCAGCACAGCCCAGTCAAACCTCTCTCGGGAGCAGGGAGTCCCTGGGGCGGAGGACACGCACCCGCTCTCACTGTCCCTGGCGTGCATGAGACAGGCAGCCTGGTGGGACGCCCGTGCCACACTGTGGGGACAGTCCCCAGCCCTGAGCCCCTGGCTGGGACCACGAGCAGCTGCGCTGGCAGCTGGGGAGCTCTTCCACGACCTGCCCGGGGAACAAGAGGCTGACGGGGCCTGGCTGTAAAATCTTGGATGACATTTTCTCTCCCCTCACCTTTGATCCTGGTAAACGTGCTCTGGGCGCTGCAATCTGATTGAGAATCTCTCTGTGTGCAGATGTCCTGCAAAAACTGCACTCACAGCTGTAAATCACAAAGCCCTCTCCAATCTGGTGGTTAGCGACAATGAATAACGATTTTTCTAATGGGAACTGGCCAGCATTCAACCCACTCCTTGATTATTTTTTTTTTTTTAAGACTATTTATGCTTGCAATAAGTAAGACTCTTCAATTTATTCAAGATCAAAAAGCAGCCAAAGGAGGAGATTTCTGGAAGCTCAAGCTACGAGGGCTCATACCAGAGCAGGCAGACCCCAAACCAAGATCACAGCAGCATCAATGCCCACGAAGCACCAAAACCAGGGGGTGTCCCAGCTCTTCGGGCTCCCCGCTTCGGGTTTTGTGAGGACACGGGTGGGTGGGTGAGCACGGGAAGGGGACGGTGCAGAGACGCGCCCACGCGGTGCGTGTTTCACTCATCACCACCCAAATCTCCTGCACAGTAGGTGGCCCAGGACGGTCCGGCACACCGGGACCAGCACAGTCTCCCTGTGGCACGACCAGTACATCCCTGGGAACCCAGCAGGGACAGACAACCATCCCCCCGGCGCGCTCTCTGCTCTGCCAAGGTGGCAGGCTGCCGAGTCTCTCCTTTCCGACGCTTCCAAACTCACTAAGCCTTTTTCGTTACAAACGTGGTGAACTAGGGAAAAAGAGTAAGTTCATGCTTGAAAAAAAAGGGACTTTTTTCTTTAAAGCACAACTCGTTTTGGGCTCCTGACAAAGCAATATTCTCCAGGCCAGTTGGAATCTGGAAAAATACACTTACTCAACCTAGCCACCATGACTCCAATAACAATTATAAAATGTCCAATAAAACTTGCATGTAATGTCAATTCAAATCTTGAAAAGCAGAATTAAGTGGTATATCAACATTAAACTTTACTGCTTCCTTTGCAGAGCAGAAGTATTGTCAATAAAAGTCATTCTGAATGAAGAAAAGGGCAGTAAATATTAAATAAACAGGTTTTTGTTGAAATGCTATAAATGCACCAGAGCCACGTTTTACACTGGGACCCTTTTTTCCTTTGCAGGCTCCCCCCATGATAGAAATAAGTCAGTAATTGCAAACTATCAATAAAGCGCCAATTAAAGGGTGGTTAGATGCATGCATTTACAATATGTCATTATGAGCCTTTATTGTATGTAGTTGGCTTTCTCAGATCCCACTGGCTCCGCCTGAAGTCCCCCAGCACACAAACAGTCGTGCTGCTCCTTGGGGCCCTTGGAGGAGCCGTGAGGGTGCTGGAGGCGAGCGCCAGCCCTGGCCGGGGGCTCTGGGTGCGTCCCCCGTGTGCCCTGGCCCAGGGGCACGGCAAGGATGGAGACCCAGAGCCGAGAAGTGGATGAGAGGGGAGCGTTTGGTCAGGCTTTTTGGTCATGGAAGTTTCTTCTGGCAGAGATGTGAAGACAAAGCATCACCATCTCAGTCCACTACGCTATTATTTTATTCTATATCATATACATAGAATATATATATATTATAGGCATGACAGCTCTGCTTCGAGACACGGCAGCTGTGCCAAAGCCTGGAGTCTGGCCATGTGGTTTGCTTTCTGATAGGCCACTCACCGTGGTGTCTTCTGCTCCTTTCTGGGTCTACTCACCTCAGAAAGAGCCATCGCCATCCTCCCTCCACTTCCTCACACACAAAAGTACATCTACGAATCCCCGCTCGCTAACCTGATCTCCACCATGTCTCAACGCCCGCCGGCTTCTGCAACGAGCAGCCGACAGAGGCGCGGTGTTTTGCTTTATCCGTGAGACAGAAGAGCAGGGTTTTTAGGGTTGGGCTGAATAGAATCCTCCCAGTGACACTGAAAACCTCAGGTGCGATGCCAGTCACCTCGTGCAGCCATGCCCCGAGACCTCTTTGGGTCAAAGCTCTTCTGCCCCGCTGCCGGGACCTCCGCCTGCCTGAGAAGATCCACCCCAACAAAACCACACCTGACGCCAAAAGGTGTGCCAAGCGAGCAGAGGTGCAAGCTGTACGTTTGGTGGCACCCAGACGCAGCGGGATGTGTTTCGGGAGCAGGAGAAGGAGCGGGCATCCCTGTGAGGGCACGAATCCCGCCGTTTTTAAGTCGGCCCTTTAAAATCCGACCAGCATTTTTGTGGTTTACCAACAGAGTTTATAAGCTGTTCTCTAGTTTAATCATCACAGGTATTTACAGGAAGCAGTAACAGCTACCGAGTATGAATTTCATGACGCTGAAATGATATTGAACAAACACCACAGTCAACAAGGGCTGAAAGCTGCGCTTCTGCGAGCCAAAGTGGCTGGGGTCTAACAAGGTCTTTGAATTGTGCCAAGGCACAGACGAGAGGAATCAGATGTGGTCTAGGAAAGCATATATGCAGGAGCTTCTATCCTCTGACTTATGCACAGATTTACTTACTAAATGTACAAAAAAATAATAACAAAATCAACCAGAATGTGAATGCCACTAATTTTTCAAGCAATTATTTTCACGATGATCCTAGGCTCAGTAAATCTGGTGGTTGTAAAATCAGCTCAAAGATACTGAATATTTCAGAGATGTTGAACGTTAAACGTAAAAGAATCCCTTCAAAGGGTGAAAGATGTCTATAAAAATTAACTTTTGGAGAAACTGCAAGCATTCATCCCAGCCTTCCAGAGCTGCGGGATCAGACCCTTTGCACTAGTCCTGGCCTGACGTTTCTCTGCCAGTCGTATGGACGGAAACCAAACCAGCAGCCAACAAACCTCCAGCAACACCCCAAGAGCAGCCACACCAGCACGAACCCCCCGAGAGCCCACAGCGAAGAGCTGTGAATCATCTTGATTCACCTGAGCCCGGACTCTGGACCTGCCCATTGAGCCAACTCCTCCGGACGCTGCTCCTCCTCGGAGAAGACGGGCTCCAGCGAACCACCCC